GCTTTTCTTTTTCTTTTTTCTTTTTGGACACGAAGAGACGACGATGCTCCTTGGAAAAGGGCCGGGGGCGAAAAAGAGAGTGGCTTTCTGAAGTGAGAATAAACGGCGCGATTTGCTCTCGACTTTTGAGTGTTCGTCAGAGCTTGCAGCTTGGCATGTGTACACTACACCTGAGAGATCACATCTCTTGAGCGTTATTTACAGTTGGCGAGATCCTGCTCTGTTCCAAGATTTGGGGCTTAATCAGACATCTGGAGGTGCAGACGGTTGTTCAACTTTTCTGGTGCCGTGGCTTCTGTTACTGCGGCACCGTTTCCTTGTGTAAACCTGCTGGCTTACACAACCTTTGCATGGCCTTATCCCATTGGTCACCCCGTTACCCCCACCGAATCTTTACCAATCGAGTAGCATTTTGGCAGGTCCCCAAAATTGGTCATTTATTAGAGAAGAAAGATTCCGTAAAATACCCAAATAGGCAAATACTTGCTGGTAAGCAAGCGTTCAGCTAACTGTAGCAGAACTGTGAGCAATGTTCTTCAGTGCGTGCCCAATGCCCATCTGGTGAATTGGTGATGGAGGTACTATTGAAATGAGGGTGCTAGGTAGGTACACATCGTGCGCAAACTTCAGTTTGAATATCCGGAAATCGAAGCCCAGCTTTGGCAAAGATTTTACAGCCGTAGTACTACCTCCCAAGTCCCAACCCATACTGAAAAGACAGTAGCTGAAATTGAATGAGCTCCTTGAGCAGCCTTTGCTTTTTCACCTCGCCAAAGTTTGGACCTGCGAACATTGCATCGAATGGAGCAGATTCTGAACCTCACAACAACAACAGCTCAAACCCAAGCAAAATTGTACAGCGCTTTGGAGTTTGGATGCATGCTGCTGTAGCTTTTTCCAAACTTTGCAGATATATGCTGACAGCTGAGTGCCTGTTTAGTTCTCAAAATTTTGCAAAATTTTTCAAAATTCTCCGTCACATCGAATCTTCTTTGGACGCATGTACGAAGCATTAAATATAAATAAAAAATAAAACTAATTACATAGTTTAGACGAAATTCACGAGACGAATCTTTTAAGCCTAATTAGACTATGATTGGACACTTATTGTCAAATATCAACGAAAGTGCTACAGTACCATTTAAAAAAAAACTCGCCAACTAAACAAGGCCTGAGGCTATAGCAGGTGTTTGCTGTGTTTTGCCGAGCGCTGAGTCTACAACAGCCAAATCGACTCTCGCCTCTCTTTTTTTCCTCCTGTTTGGTTTAGTAAACCCGTGATCATGAGCTTACGAAGATCGAAACGGCCAGCATAGAGATTAGAGAGAAGGGTTTCTACTTTCTACTCAGGTACCGGAGCAAAGGTGCGCCGTACTCGGAGAACTAACCAGCTCGAGTGCCCAGTTTATCTTATTCCGTTGGTCATTTGAAATCGCGATCCATCGATGGAACGCCGGCGCCGGTGCCGCCGCCGACGACGAAGTCACCAAGTGCTCACACTACAACTAACACGGGCTCTTGCTCCCCGGGCATCATTTCGGGGATGCATCATGCGTGGGACTTCGTTTGGCCAATGGGGACTGCGGACACGCCCATCCCCACTGGATTATCTATGCTCGTTGCTCGCCCCCCATGGTTTTTCTTCTCAAGAATTGCGCGTTCAGTTCTCAAGGACGAGGAAGATGGGCTGGCTGCTGTGCTGAGGGCCTGGAACTGTGGCCAGTGAGATTAGTATACTCGATCTGTATTCTCTCTGCAGTCTCTGTGTGATGAACGGAATAGGCGGAGAGAGCTGCAGAATGGGCGAGCCGGAGGAGCCACGGGGAGCGAGGGCGTGGATGAATTTGTTTAGGTCATGGGACGCGCGCGAGAACCGGTGCCTTGAAAGGCACCAAAAGGCGTCGCCAAAGCGGGGGACAAGGCACCGGGCTAAATGACAGAATGTCCCCGGACCAGGCGGCGCGTCAGGAACCACGCAAAAGTGCAAAACCGCACATCCTCGATAGCTCGCTCTCGCTGCAGCGTGGGCCTCCCTTGCCAGCCAGTGTGATTCGCTGAAACCGTTTGCGTTGCGTGCTCGGAGGCGGCGACGGTGATGGTGGCACGCGTGTTTTGTGGAGTGGAGAGTTGCTGGGCGCTGGTGGTGCTCCGGCTGCTGATCGAGGGGCGGGGGCGCGGGGCGCGCCGGCGCCGAGGCAGCTCCTCCTCCTATCCGATCCTCTCTGGGCTGTGGCCAAAGCGCTTTTCCTGGCTCAGTGCAGGAGCAGCGAGCGCAACGTCGGCGCGAGGCGGCGTGGGAACGAAAAGGGTCTCGAAGTGGAAATGCCCTCCTAGTGGCAAAAGGTTAGAAAATTCGCTGCATAGTACCATCTTGCTGACAAAAGGTGCAAAAAAACTCTCTGAACGCCATCCAGACTGATGACCTGTATTTCTTATCTACCATAAAAAATAGCAAACTCTTTCAGAGTGCCATTGTTATAATTTTGCAATTCTCTTTATGCGAGCTAATAACTGGTTAGTTCGAAATAGTGCCCGAATATTCAATATGTGGAAACACGGCTTGGTTTGCTTAGCTGGGGGTGCATCACAGATTTCGACCTGACTTATCAAGTACTCAATCCATCCCAAATTATAACACGTTTGACTTTTTTGACACCAAATTTGACAAGTCGTCTTATTCAAAAATTTGTGTAAAATATCACTTCTTTCGTCGTTGTTTGGTTTATTAATAAAAATTCTTCAAAAATGACTTAAATTTAACTATATTTGCACAAATTTTTTGAATAAGACGAGTGGTCAAACTTGGGGCCAAAAAAGTCAAACGTCTTATAATGTGGGATGGAGGGAGTAGTACCCATTACCTTTGAGAAGATGACTAAGTCCTTTGATCGATTTGAATAATTGGTTAGAGGGTGCATCATAGTCGTGTCGCTCTGTCGTGATCCTCGAATTGGCGCGAGCGCAATCAATGGGTCTAATTCTCTATGCGATTCGGAGAATTGGTCGAAGGTTTAAGCTGTAGTTGAAGTCTGAATGCGAGTGCTTTCTGTGCCCGAGTGCTCTGAGTGTCCCAGCCACTTCATGTCATCAAGCCGGAGTTCTTTTTATGTAGTTGTAGTTCACCGAGTTTGCATACTCCTCGAGCCTACAATCGATTCAAAGAATCGATCGAAGGTTAAACATGAAGTTATTTTCTACTCCCTCCATCCCAAATTGTAAGACGTTTGACTCGTCTTATTTAAAAAATTTGTGCAAATATAGTCAAATTTAAGTCATTCTTGAAGAATTTTTATTAATAAACCAAACCACGACAAAAGAAGTGATATTTTACACAAATTTTTGAATAAGATGAGTGGTCAAACTTGGTGTCAAAAAAGTCAAACGTCTTACAATTTGGGATGGATTGAATACTTCTGATCTCTGAGTGCCCGATGAACACACCTAGTGGGCGTGGCGGTGAGGCCTACTCCGATGGAGCCGGTGGAGGTGTGCTGCAGCGGTCGAGTCTAGTGGGGCCATGGCTTCTTTAGTTTAATCTAAGACATAAGATCGTCATCCAACGATTTAGGTTATTTTCTATTTCTGATCATAATAGAATCCAACTACATATGTTCTTTTCATTCTTTTTTTTTTTTGCCAATTGACCTCATAATTCTATTTGGCATGCCCTCTCTTTTGTTTATCTTAGACGTTACATCATCATAAAATTTAGGTATAGCTTCTTTTTCTTTTCCTTTAATTAGAACCAATCTAGTGAAGCTCTAGCTTCTCCCTACACTATAGTGAGGAACTATTTTATATTTTTTCTAAAATAAACTAAGAGCCGATGAAACTCTTTTTTACTTTATCAGCTACGGATCCTCCATGCACTGTAGTGAGGAGCAAGTGTTGCTAAATCGGGTATTATATTTTCAAACCCCCTTAGATTCAGCATGGAAGCTGCTCTAAGAGCTCTGCTAAACAAACACTTGGAAATCAAAGTTGGTGGTTTGATTGGTGGACTAGTAGTGAGAATTGGCTCCACATAAGTATTTTCTATGTATTAATCTGTTTATACATATGTGCGGTGTATAATTTATAGATGGCCACGGTCCTATATCTATGTGTTTATCATTTAATATATGTGTGTGATTCAATTGTTAGATTCTAGATTTAGGACCTGTTTTTTCTTCCGAAAATACGTGCAAAGTACGGGCATCCGGCAATAATAACATTCGGCCTTTGCACAACTCCATTTATGAGATCCATGTCGGATTTGCAATTCATAGATCTAATTAAAATGGTTGAAATAAATATTTAAATTATAAACAAAACGAGTCCCTGGACATGCCTCTAGCTCCGAATCAAAGTTTTTCTGGATCTAAAAATAGTCAAACATCAGGCTCCAAGAAATCCACTAACTAGGACCCGTTCAATTTGTTCCACAAACTCCTACGAACACTGCTAAACAGGACAGTGTCCATTTTTCCTATTTGCAATAAATTCCACTGATAACACGTGTTAACATTGTTAGGCACTTCTTCCCGTTCCATTCCGTTCCGTTCCGTACTGATTTTTGTCCTAAACACAGAGCATTTATTAAAAGGAAAAAAGAAAAGATCCGGAGGACTCACTTTATCTTTGTCCTTTTTCGTTTATATATGCGTTCCCCGTCTACTTGCATCCAAAAGAACTCCTGGAAAGAAGCAGAGATAAGGAGAAAGACGGGTTTCTTTTATCCTCACCTGTCCCCTGTCGGACGTGCTGCAGAGTCTTGCTTCACCCGTCCGGCACCGGCACCTCACTCTCCCTCCTGCAGTATATATCACCCCCTCCGGCCTCCATTTCTTCTCGACTTGAACACGGCCAGCGTCTCATCGGCTGGGCGTGGTCGACTGCACGCACACTCACCACCCACCGCAAGCGAATCCATCGAAACGGAGCCTGCTAATAAGTAGCTAGAAGACAGGACACCCCACTGCTAGCTAGGAATCCAGGAGCGAGAGGAAGAGAGAGAGACCATGGCCTCGGAGGCCAATGGGGGCGTCGTCGCCAACGAGAAGGGAGCGGAGACGGTCGGCGTCGGGCGGTACGTGGAAATGGAGCAGGACCAAGACGCCAACACCGGCAAGTCGCGGCTCTCCGGCCTGCTCTGGCACGGCGGCTCCGCCTACGACGCTTGGTTCAGCTGCGCCTCCAACCAGGTGAATGAATGAACTTTGCCGCCGTTTCCGTCTCTCGTCTCGTGATGAGCTCGGTGCAGTGGTTCGCGCTAGCTAGCTGTAGCAGAGGGTAGGCTTGTACTCCTAGAGCTCAATAGCTCATGCTGCATGCACCTTGTTTGTGTTCAGGTGGCTCAGGTGCTCCTGACCCTGCCCTACTCGTTCTCGCAACTGGGGATGCTGAGCGGCATAGTGTTCCAGCTCTTCTACGGCCTGATGGGCAGCTGGACGGCGTACCTCATCAGCATCCTCTACGTGGAGTACCGGACCAGGAAGGAGAGGGAGAAGGCGGACTTCAGGAACCATGTCATCCAGGTGAGACGGGGAAGAAATTGACACGCACGCAACACGGCGTCCATGCATTTGCTACTCGATCAGCCAATGTGTTCTGAACCACGCCACGCCTGGCATCTGCACTGCAGTGGTTCGAGGTGCTGGACGGGCTGCTCGGGAGGCACTGGAGGAACGTCGGCCTGGCCTTCAACTGCACGTTCCTGCTCTTCGGCTCTGTCATCCAGCTCATCGCGTGCGCAAGGTAAACAAGCAGATTACGTACCGTGTGTGTTGTTTCGCAGCTTGCTTACATGGTTCGCTGTGCGATCGAGTTGTTTGTTTCTGGTATGGCTAACCGTGTACGTACGAATACGATTGGTGTGCATGCGCGCGTACCATACCAACAGCAACATCTACTACATCAACGACAAGCTGGACAAGCGGACGTGGACGTACATCTTCGGCGCCTGCTGCGCCACGACGGTGTTCATCCCGTCGTTCCACAACTACCGTATCTGGTCCTTCCTCGGCCTTGTCATGACCACCTACACGGCGTGGTACCTCGCCGTCGCCTCCCTCATCCACGGCCAGGTAGGCACACAAGTGCATGATCAAGCAAGCACATCTGCACATGCATGCTCATCGATGCCATTGAGTAGCGTTCAAGCATGCTGTGGCCTGTGAGTGACCGGCAGAGATGATGCACTCCTTCCTGCTTGCAGGTTGATGGCGTGAAGCACTCCGGGCCGACCAAGATGGTGCTCTACTTCACCGGGGCCACAAACATTCTCTACACCTTCGGAGGGCACGCTGTTACTGTGTAAGGAGACAAACACCTTTCTTTTTTTTTATGGATGCCCCGGTCCCAGCTCCCCCCTGCTGTATGACCAAGGCAAAGCTAGCAATGTGGATGTTTCTATTACCGAAACAAAAGAAAAATAACGTAGGGATTTGAACACACACCAAGGGACCACGTACATGACACTGAGACCAACGAAAGTAGCTAGCTAGTGTGTGAAGTGGTCCGGCCATTCCATACATTTTGCTTCCTCTGGCCACGCCCACGCCATACGTCTCAGACGTGTTGCCATGCCATGCACAAGTTTACATGCTCGACAATTTTACCTCTCGCTTGTTGGAGAAGAATGCATGGCACAGCATTTCTCCATTCCGTCCGGTCCTTCTTGAAGTACACGCAGGCATCGAGGGGATGGACCGGACATAGGGAAAATCTCGCGTAGAACATTTTAATGTCGCTTTGGCTGCTGCTGATAGTTTGCCACCGTCAGTCATTTTTAGACAAGTGTAGCGAGTAAAAAAAAAGTATGGTTACAAATTTTGGAGCCACACACAAGTATGGTTAAAAATTTTGAAGCCATATTTTCTCATAAGATGTGTGGTAACATGTTCTTCATGAGAAAATGTGGCTTCAAGATTTAATAAAAAAAATATGTAAAAGTCTAAAGGATCCTTGTCTAAATTTAATCAAACTTGTCTAAGATGAAGCAGAGAAAGATAAAACTAGCAACCAAACACCAGTGTGGAACTACAATCATCCGGTTGTTGTGCTAGCTTACACATACAATACATGCCATGTCATCGATCTAATCGCAAAGGCACAAGAGCTTCTCTCATTGGGCCTGTTCACTGGTTGGTGCTGGTGCTGATTTGGGCTGACTGGTGCTGGTTTTTTGTAAGAGGAAAACACTGTTGGCTAGCTGGTTTGGACTGACTGAAATCAACAAGCGAACGGGCTGATTGTCCGCGCCGCACTGTTCGGCCTTGGCGCCATCAGACCCGTGCAAGGTCCTTTCCGTCTTTACAAACCACAGGGCACGGCACGGCACACGGCAGGCCTATCTCCTCCGAGTCACTGACTCATTCATTGCTTGTACAGTCAAAGGAGCCACTCCACCTAGGAGAGGAGCGTGCATTGCTGCTTTATCTCTGCAGTGCAGGGCTCCTGCTTTTGCACTTGCAACCACGGAGCCCTCCTGACTCCTGAGCCAGCTCGGCTCTGATAGATGCCGATACGATACCCCTCTGCAGATGCCAACAGCTAGCACGGATGACGGAACTTGCACAAACATGGCACGGATGTCCAAGTCTCTGCGTGCACGAAAGAGAGAACGCAAAATTGAAAAGCAAACGGCTCCGTGTCGAATCTAGGTCTAGCTAGCCCTGTAGAAAACTGATGATCTGAGCATGCGCGGCGTTTGAAAGGTGACTGAACGAACAACAGCAATACGTACTCAACTCAGCAATGCTATGCTTGGCATGCAGGGAGATCATGCACGCGATGTGGCGGCCGCAGAAGTTCAAGGCGATCTACCTGATGGCGACGCTGTACGTGCTGACGCTGACGCTGCCATCGGCGGCGAGCGTGTACTGGGCGTTCGGGGACCAGCTGCTGACGCACTCCAACGCGCTGGCGCTGCTCCCGCGCACGCCCTTCCGCGACGCCGCCGTCGTGCTCATGCTCGTCCACCAGATCATCACCTTCGGCTTCGCCTGCACGCCGCTCTACTTCGTGTGGGAGAAGCTCATCGGCCTCCACGACTGCCGCAGCCTCTGCAAACGCGCCGCCGCGCGCCTCCCCGTCGTCGTGCCCATCTGGTTCCTCGCCATCATCTTCCCCTTCTTCGGGCCCATCAACTCCGCCGTCGGCTCGCTCCTCGTCAGCTTCACCGTCTACATCATCCCGGCGCTGGCGCACATGATCACGTTCCGATCCGCAACCGCCCGTGAGGTACGTACGTAGTACTCCCATGCACACGTTTATTACTGCTACTAGTAAAGATTTTTTTTAAAAAAAAGTTTTATTACCATGCATTGCATGCATTATTTACGTTTACCCAATGGCTTTACTTTACCGTGAGCAGGAATTTCGTAGCTCGTTCGCTAGCTTTAGCTTTACACTGGCAAGTAGCAATCCATGCAAGCTAGCTAGGTCCTGAGTAGATGCCACTATGCACAGCAGCCTAAATATTCACGGGACTCATCAGTGAGAGTAGCCATTCAACTGGACCCCACCCTCTTATTACAAGGCATGCAAAATGTTGCTACTATTTGGTAGTCATGATTTGAGCTGAAATTATTAGGGAGGTAAACACTGCCTCTGAAAGGCTGTTCGTACTGATTGCTGAAAGTCTGAAACATATAGGACAAAACAGCGGCAGTGTCAAACTGTCTTTTTCGTGGTGTGGCCTGTACGTACTAGTAGCAAGGAAGAAGAGAAAGGTTGGCGCAAAGCTCGGAGACAAACCGAAAGAACCCTAGAACCAGAATAAAGATGCTTTATCTGCAGGAAATATTTGTACCGCATGGCATCTCGTCCCCGAGAGCCACAGAAATTCCGACGACCACCGAAACAAAGCGTCCGGAAAGGACAGAATGCATTTGTACTCTCGATAGAAAGAAGGAACAGACGAAGCATAGAACACGCACTAGTAGCAAGTACTTAAGGTTTGTAGGCTTGTAGCGCTGAGTTCCATGCAAATGATAAACCCAATGATGACAAGTAGTAGTTCTCGATGCTCTTAACAACGTTCGAGTTTGTTGGCATGCTCTGAATAACCAATTCTTCTGAAAAGAAGAAGAAGAAGCTCTGAATACTAATTAAGCTTTTGACCTGTTGTGGCGCGGTGCAGAACGCGGTGGAGCCGCCGCCGCGGCTGGTGGGGCGTTGGACGGGCACGTACATGATCAACGCGTTCGTGGTGGCGTGGGTGCTGGTGGTCGGCTTCGGCTTCGGCGGCTGGGCAAGCATGACCAACTTCGTCCGCCAGATCGACACCTTCGGCCTCTTCACCAAGTGCTACCAGTGCCCGCCGCCGCCCCTGCCCCCGGGCGCCGCCCCCTTGCCGTTCCCCGGCGGCCTCGGCAACATCACGATGCCATTCAGCGGGACCGCCGGCGGCGCGGAGCTCCCTCCGGCCCCGGCTCCTTCGCCGGCGCATTTCTTCCTGCGCCACCACCGGCATCACAGCCTTGGGCTCTGAACTGAAGAGACGATGGATGAGCCCAGCTGATACCAGTGCGTGACTCTGCTTTAATTAGTTTCAGCTAATCAATTAGTTAGTCTAGCTTAATTAGCACCTGCAGCATCTTCCTTCTCTTCTCTAGCTTGTTGTCGCATGCTTTCCCGGTTTCCGTGACTGTATCAGTATCACTGTATCAGTAGCATGGAGTCTCTTGTGTTCTGGGCTGTGTCCTGGCGTGGAGCTCAAAAAAGGGGAATATTTCTACAGCCACAGACGCCGAGTCTAGCCGCCCCTAACTCTGAACTTTCTCTCGTGCATGCATAGAGCTCGTCACCTTTGCAGTGTGGCAGTATTCCACCACTCAGTGCTGTATCATTGGCAGTACTTCGGCGCTGGTGCGCTCACGAGTCAGGACTCGGCCAGTGAACTCGGGATACAAGGATCTCTTTGCCCCATCTCTTGGTCGCCGTGAACTGTGTACTGACACCCAATGCCAAATGCTGGCAGATATAGGCCATGCCGCCATGGGCATTCCCAGAGTGCACGGTACCATTCTGCGGCTTTCCACGGTTTAGCGCGTGTTTAGTTCACTCAAAATCTCAAAAAGTGCTACAGATCTCATTACATCGAATCTTCCGTACGTGTATGGAGCATTAAATGTAGACCGAAAAAAAACTAATTGTACAGTTTGGTTGGAAATTACGAGACAAACGTTTTGAGCCTAATTAGTCCATGATTGAATACTAATTATCAAATAAAAACGAAAGTGTTATAGTAGCCCAAATTCCCAAATTCACCCAACTAAACACGCGCTTACAAGATGCCACACAAGATCAAACAGTGCACAGGTCTATTTTACAGCTTTACAGGCTACTCAAAGAGAGTGGCACTATCATTAAACGTTCTCAGAATACTGAATATTCAGGTGGAGAAACTCTAAAAAAATTCAGAACAAGTTCGGGTTTTGAGCAAGGAACTGTGGGTTTTTGCACGCATGCAACAACCTCCGTTTCTGAACATTTTGCCTTAATCAAGATGCGCTAGCATTTTTGCATCTACCGGTGGCATAGTGGAACTGGGCTCCTCGACCCGCCGAGGTCCTGGTTGAAGCCAAGGATTCAGGATACCCACGGAACAGAGTCTACACGGGCAATGGCACCGGCGGTAGCATACCGGATTGGATTGTGAAGGCAAGGAAACCTGTTCCTCCCTGATTGCCTCCGTCCACCGTCGCGGCGGCATCAAATGGGGCGGCGGCGGACAGCCCACCCCACGTCCGCTACAGGTGCAAGCGTCATCAGAGCTGTTGCGGCAGCCCATATCTCGCCGCAAGCTTTTCGTGGGTTACAGGCTTACAGCGGCAATGAGCTCGCGCATGCAGGTGTTCGCTCGGCGCTGGCAACCAAAAAGAGACGCTAGCAAATTCACTGACGTATGCTTCTTTAAATCCACGGCCTAAAGTTTTTGGCTGTGAGGTGTTACATAGCCTAAAGTTTTTGGCTGTGAGGTGTTACATGTGGTGTTCGAATATTAATAAAAAAAACAAATTATAGAATCCATCAGTAATCCATGAGACGAATTTATTAAACCTAATTAATCCATATTAGCACATGTGTTAGTGTAGCAACCACGTTGTCAAATCATAGACTAATTAGGCTTAAAAGATTCGTTTCATAAATTAGTCGCAAACTGTGTAATTAGTTATTTTTTAGTCTATATTTAATACTCTATGTATGTGTCAAACATTCGATGGAATAGGGAGTAAACTTTAAGAGGAGTAACTAAACAAATGCCGTATTCACTTTGTACTAACACAAATTCATAATCTATCTCACCTACTTCAACAAAATCCTAAAAAGATGGAAATAAACTAAACATGACAAGGACATTTATAGTGACAAATAGGTGTCTATTTATTACAATAATAAATTATATTAAAAATAACTTCTTTGTGAATCCAATGAGAGAATGTTTGCATGTTTTAAGCATATGCGACATTAGCCAAGTCCATTTTAACGTCTTTGCCTTCTTGGGAGTAGTCACGGCCACACCCCTGATTTAAAATACAGTAAGTTAGCATAAATGTGTAAATAATATCTGACCAACCAAATAAGGAGCCCTAAATTAAAATCAAATTATTGCTAATGAAACTGAGCATAAATAATAGAAATTATATACTGTAACTGTAAAGGGTGTACATACAGGGAAGAGGTAGACATAGTAATCTTCCATGAGAAGAGGCATCCATTCTCCAATAGAAAGCAGACGAGCGAACTCAAGAGACTTTGTTAACCTGAAAATTGGTAAGAAGAGAAACTGTGATAAATGGTACCCCAACTGATTTGAGAACAAGCAATAGGACCTTTTTATAGATGTATATATGCCCTAAACCACACAGGCCATTGAATGAAAAAGCAACTTCCCCAAAGCAAGCTACTATTCTAACTCCTAGCTCATGCTGAACTGCTGCTACTTATCCAAAATACTTGCTGTGAATTATCAGGTCTGTACTTGAGCAAAAAGTGAACAACAGTCTAAACTTACAGCTAGGAACATGTCTGAATAAACAAAGGGCATTACCTTGCTGAGGCAAAAATTATATCTGACCACCAAATCAGCAGCCCCAAATGAAAATGTCCAATTTAGTTCAGTTTTGAAAGATGGATCATTTTCAAAATATCCGAGGATGATATGGTTTTCAAAAACTGAAGTAACATAACACTGTGGTTTTATAAGGCAAAGAGACAAAATCGTGGTTTAGAAAAAAAGGTCATCGGTAGAGTTTCTAAAACTCCAAAAGACTACAGTTTTGACAAACAATGATTTTAGAGACTACAAGATTTGTTGCATCCAAACACTCAGTAACTTTATAAAACCAAAGTATTTTTATAAAAAATACTTTGTATCCAAACTCTAATATTTCAAAAATACTATCCTTACGGGACATCCAAACAGCGTAAGATATGATTATGGGCCATAAAATGCCGACCTTAGCAGCGGGGAACATGCTCGGTTCGGGTCTCCTGCTTCAACGGTCGCAGCCCACCCGACCCCCTAATAGGCTGAGCGCCTCCGTGACCGGCGCCCAACTCAATTTTTTTAAATTTTTTATTTAATATTCTAATAATAATAACTCCTGAATTTTTATTTGCATCTCTGACCCCTTTGGTCGCACCAGTGCCGCTGGCACGACAAAATAACATTATCGTGCCCCATGTATTGGTTCGGCAACATCTGCCACGTTAGATGACATTTCCAACGTGAAAAACTTTGTCACGCCACTTCCAGTGGCGGGACATTATTGTTCTATCGCGTCAACGGGAGTGGTGTGACAAGACTGAACCTTATAAAAATCATAACTTATCGATACGATGTCTTTGAAGATGGTTTTGAGTTTTTTCATTTGAGGACGTTAAGACGCTTAAAAAAGTAATATAAAATTTCAAGAGCATAATAATCGTGTACTGGTGCTTGCCGCATTAGAAAAATAATATATTTTCTACATGGTGTCAAATGAAGATACTTTTTACATCAAAGTTGTAGCTCTCAATGAGATCTACAACTTTATAGTTTTGAGTTTTTGCATTTGAGGTCGTTAAGATACACGAAAAATAATATAAATTTCAGTAGAATAATAATCACGTACTAGCGCTTGTTGTATTAAAAAAATAATATCAGTTTTTATGGTGCCAAATGAAGATGTACTTTATATCAAAGTTGTAGCTCTCAATATAGTACACACATCCCATACACATTCAATGATACATAGGGTCCGTTCGGCTGACATGAAAGTCAGCTGAAAAATCACCACACAAATTTGAAAACATTGCTCACTCTCTCCAGATTCAACCCCTCAGATTCAAACAAAAACCGTTGTCCGTCATTCTTGGGAACTTCCTCAGATGGCTGGGGTGTTTGCTGGGGTGGGGTGGGGCATCATGAGCAGGGCCGACTACAAGCTGGGGGCAAACCGTTGTCCATCATTCTTGGGAACTTCCTCAGATGGCTGGCCAAGTGTTTGCTGTCGAGCGCGCTGCCACCGGGAGCATCATGAGCAGACCGCCGACTACAAGCTGGAGCAAGGCGGCGTGGCGGAGGATAGCGCGGAGAGTAAGGCGACGATGAAAGAGTGGAGCAAGCCCTCAAAAACATGGGCGAAGAAGATACAGTATTTGAGGTTCTTACGAGGTGACCGCGGTCATTGAAAAGGTGACGGCCAAACTTTAGGCGTCCGGCGGGTCGCGAGCGAGATTGAACGACGCATGCAGCAACAAGAAAATGGAAAAGGTGAGCTTTTATTAGCTAGTGGTCGGTGCTAGCTAGGCGATAGGGATGAGCTTCGCCATTCCTGGGTAAGCTCACATCCATCCACCCACCTCTACCAACTGAAACTGAACGCGGTCGACGACGATGATGACTCACGAGAGAGAAGCAACCCAATAATGCAAGGCAGAGACCTGGCCGTGGACGCCACATCCAATACATGTCAATCCATCCATAGCCGGTAACTGGCAATGCACAAACGGAGATGGGTGTAACAAATCGAACCCTCCTGTCTCCCTGCTGCTCTCCTCAGGTCCCTTCCCCTCTCATCTCGTATCTCTCAAACCATATTGATGCACAGATCAAATAATTAAGAGGGAACTCACCATGGATTTTGTCCATCGCTAACTAGAAACCCCTTTCTTCTTTCGGTCCACCATCGCTCCATCGAGTCGTGCCACTAGCAACAAATGGCGCGGGAGATAGGAGGGATAATGGCGGGTTGGGTTAGTCGTGCTCGTGCCACATGCAAAAGACTCTCCACTCCAGGCTTTTTTTTTTTTTTGTCTCTCTCTATCTACGAGAGAACAATCCACGATGTTTCATCTTGGCCCAAGTACGACATTTCTTGAGCGCTCCCAGTTCAGTAGATCCATTCCCGACACGGCCCATAAAATTGTTACGCCTGCCGCGGCCGCCCGTGCATCCAATTCCGCGCGGGCGGCGATTGCGTGGGGTTTTTTTACCAGGCTGCAAAAATGACGACATGTGGGCTTTGCCGTCCCGTCCCACGGGCCAAGCCGAACCATCCAGCCCGCTCTGGCGTGGCGAATTGAAGAATAAGCCACACGCCTTGTGTTTTTCCCTCCAGCTAGGATCATACCGTTGACAAATCGCGATCGACAAACTCACCAGTAATTTCGCCATCGGATTTAGTATTCGTGTGGTTAAAGTCACGGTATTGGGTATGGGGATTACTCTTTGTAGCTCAGAACTATCGCCACGCTGACATTTTTTTTTGTGAACGGCGATGATAAAAATAGTCCAATAAGACCCTGTTCGTTTATCTTGAGATGGAGGGATTTGAAGGGGGTAGGAGGGGATTTTGATTTGTAGGGGATTAAATCCCTCTCAATCCCCTTGAACACCCTTGGTTTTGGGTCAAACGAACATGGCCTAAATTGTTTTGCACGAGCCGCTAGATCCTCATTGACCGACAAGCTTGTATTAAAATACAATCATGCCCATTCAAAGATACCACCGGCTGTTCATTCTTAAGATATGTGCCTAACTTTTGACTTGTGTACCCAAATCAGTAGAACTAAACACATCGAATGAATGTTAAACTAGCTGGGGTGGGGGTTTCTATTGCAAAATTATGATTGACCTCAATTGTATTGAGATTTGATCGAAGCCGACAAGTACTAGTTGTAGTAAATTTCACGGCAAGTACAAGGTTGGAAAACGTATGTTCAAAGATACGTACGGAAGTCAAATTGTTAAAAGAACCATAGCAAAAAAAATATTATTTAAAGGTGTCTCCAGAAGTAAAAAAAATGAATACATAGCTTTGACAGAAACTTGAACAGTACTTTTGCAAAATATCCTGCTAACCAAAAGAAGAGCACGTAACTGTCAATACCACAAACTGATGAAGCAGAAACTAACTTAAATTTTGACTATAATGAACGTGATAGAGACAACGAACCTGTTATGCTGTAGCTGATCTGCTATTTTTTCTGTGATCACTGTAGCAGGTCTACTTCATTCAGGGTGTGTTTAGTTGGGTGAATTTGGGAATTTAGGCTACTGTAGCACTTTCGTTTTTATTTGGCAATTAGTGTTTAATCATGAACTAATTAGGCTCAAAACGTTCGTCTCGTAATTTCCAACCAAACTGTGCAATTAGTTTTTTTTTCATCTACATTTAATACTCCATGCACGTATCGCAAGATTCGATGTAATGGGTACTGTAACACATTTTTGAAATTTAGGGTGCCAACTAAACACGCGCTCAGGAGAGAGATGACTCTCAAAAGGTGCATCTGGGGTCGATCTAAGCATGATAAACACTTTTTTTTTGTTACCATTTCAATTTACACGTACAGAAATGATCGACAAGAATTTACTGGGAATTAACAATAAGCCACTGTACCAATCAATATTTTCATTTGAGACAAATACAACCGCGATCTGTACACTCTAACAATAGCATAACTGAGAAAAAAACAAAGAAACACAAATCTAATCTGATTCTGCAAAGCAAGATGAACTAATTCATCACCGGTGGTTGCTGCAATCATCACCTGGATGCCCTGGATTGGAACAGGTCCAACCGAGCCTTGGCTTCCGGCAGCAGTGCCTCAACGCGCAGGTCCTGCGCCATGTGTGCCTGTTTCGACGCCCACAGGAGAACGGCGAGCACCCCGGCCTGCGCGAGCTCCTCGTTCTCCGGGACATGGAGCGCAATGTAGCAGAGCAATATGAGCGCCTCGATCTGCAGCTGGTCCCCGAGGTACACTAGCTGGACGAGGTGCCGCGCCCCGCCGGCGTCCACGATGGCCTTGCAGTGGTTTACGTGGAGGTGGTTCTCGGTGCAGGCGAACTTGGTGAGCGCGACCACGGCCTCCTTCATGACCGGAATCTCGCGGTCGTCGAGCAGCTGCACCAGCGGGCCGATCACGCGGGTCTCGCTCGCGGTGAATGTGCGGGACAAGCAGCCCAGGGCAGTGACGCACGGGAGCAGCAGGTCGTCGTCGTCCCCCTTGCGTACGATGCGGAGGAGCTGCTCCACGACGGCCTTGGCTGCCGTGGCGCTGGGCTTGAACGCGGACTGCCGCAGCGCCAGGTTGTGTTCGGCGACACGGGTGATCTCCATGATCGCCATCGCGGAGTAGAACTGCAGGTCCATTCCCGCGCCGCCGTCGCCGCTCTCGAGGAGCCTGGCGAAGCAGAGGAGCGCGCGAGACTCTGTGATGCTCTTGCAGACTCCCACATGGCCGCACGCAAGCATCCACAGAGCCTTGGCCGCCATGGCCTTCATTTGTGCCTTGGTGGCCGGGTCCTCGACCTCGCGCAATCCGCGGCCACTTGAACCGTTTGAGCTCAGCTGGGGCCTTGCACCTGGCGGCATGACTCCATTCGTCGTCGTGTTGGTAGCTGCCATCGCGGATTGCACCACCGATTGCATCTGGTTCGCTCTTGCTCGCTGTTGGCCAGTAGAAGTTTCCAACGGGTTCGGCGCCACATTGGTTGAGGAACCAGGCTCGCCTTGGCGCACGCTTCGCGGTTTGGCAAGCACAACGGAGTGAAGATTGTCAAGCGACGTCATGGCCGCCGCTGCCGCAGTAACGGTGTTCCGGGAGCCGTTCACACCGACAGAATACCTGCTATGCTCCTTGATGGTTCCGGAGGCGAGGTGGGTCACGAGATGCCGGACGGCGTTGCTCTGCGCGAACAGGTCCTGGCACTTCTGGCTATGGCGCGCTAGCGACGCGATGGCGTCCGCAACCGCGGCCTGCACGCGCATCGGCGGCTCCTTGAGCGCAGCGGCGAAGACGGAGCACACCCCGGAGTGGAGAAGCTTCTCCACGCTGTCCTCGTCGCGGCAGAGAAGCCCGAGCGCCCTGGCCGCGGCCTCCTGACCTTCGTCGGTGCCTTCCTTGAGCAGCTTGACGAGGGGCGCGACGCCGTCCTCCTCGACGATGTACTTGGCGAAGTGGGAGTTGCCGTTGGCGAGGGAGGCGAGGGTGGCGGCCGCGTCGGCCCGCGCGGCGAGGCCGCCGGTGTGGAGGCGCGCGATGTTGTCCCAGATAATGCCGAGCACGGGCTCGTTCTGCGCGATGTTGGGGAGCCCCCGCAGGTCGCCGTCGTCGTCGTCCTGCGGGGACGAGATGCGGATGAGCCAGGCGATGTCCCCGAGCGCGGTGTCGAGCAGGGCGAGGGTGCGCGGGAGCCCCGACACCGGGTTGAGCGTGAAGAAGCGGCGGAGGCGGGAGTGGCTCTGGAAGCAGCGCGCGGCCATGCCCGCGGCCTTGTGGAGCGCCCGCTCAGTGTCGGCCATGACGCGCGCGGCGGGGCGCTCGTACAGCTCGGCCCGCGCCGCCTGCCGCAGGAGCTCGGCGACCTTCTTGGCGCGGGACCGCAGCTCCGTGCAGTCCGTCCGGAGGCACTGATACCCCGCCTGCTGCGCCACCTGGTCCGCGAGCTGGATGGGCTTCGCCAGCATCGCCTTCGCCCCCTCCCCCATCCTCGTCGCACCACGCGCGCCTCGGGATCACGGGAAGCAATTTGCGGCGAGGACGCAGGCAAATTTTGGGCGGACAGCGGGCGTCTGGGCAATCGGCAGGGCCCGATGCCTCAACCCCCACGAACTGAGCTTTAAATCGGGGGCTAGCTCCCGCTGCTCCGCGGCGTTGGAACGGCGCCGAGGGGCCGAGGTGCGAACACGGCGGCGCGGAAATGCAAGGAAAAATCCCGCCACTAACGAACCGCCTCATGCCTAGCAAGGCAAAAGGGATGGGAGGCGCCAGGCGCGTGGGTTCCTAAGCTGCTTGCTTGGCTTTGGTGTGGCCGGCATGCTGACTGCTGTGGTATGTGGCTATGCCGTCTTCGGTTTCGTCCCTTGGCGAGCACGGGATGAGGATCGAGGAGCGCGCGCGGGGGAGGGTGGGTTTTAGGATCAGTACGCAACCAGCCAGTCAGTCGTGAGACCGGGTCGTTGGACCGGACGCGGTGGGCCACGTCGGACGGGCTGGCAGGCTGGTGATGGGCCCTCACGGTCACGGCGGCGCCTTTGCTGCGGAGACAGACATGCCGCGGACGCGCTGTGGTGATGATGGTCGTGGCCGTTGGTCCGCTGTTGCGTTCTAACAGTTTTAGCACGGTGGTGTCTGGTGTGCTTCGCAGAGCTCGTGTACCTGCTTGTGGCACCGGTTCTGGTTTTCTGGTTGCCTGCTTCCACTTGGTTTCTCGCGACAACTACAAGCGCATACTCTAATGCGCGTCTGGTCGTGCTCACGCGAACGTGCGACTCCACGCCGCTGCTGGCCTATTGCGCGCCGTCGAACGCCGCGGAGATAGAGTTTGCTCTTCCTCTGGCCCTCGTCCACCCAAGAACCCCGCGAGCCTGTTCGGTTGGCTGGTTCGTATCGTTGCTGGTTCATGAAGAAGTACTGCTGACTGATTTGTATGAGAGAAAAATACTGTTCCGACTAAAAATTTACGATCGTTTACGACAAGCCATGGCCAAACAAACAGGAGCGTCGCTAGATGCGGTGGGTGGAGACGGCGATCGAAACGAACGAAGCAGAGGCAGAAAAAACTTATCGACGGGTGAGCAGAGGCGACGGATTAGTGGCGGAGGGGGCGGACAGCGTACGGTGCAGCCAAATGGCGCGTCTCTGGCGGCCGTGAAAGGCAGCGGGAGGGATCACGTGCTCGCGCGACCACGCCGAGGGCGTGAGGCGGCGCCAATCTGTCATTTGTCGCGACGCTCTACGGCGGCGACTGCTACCAGTCTGGTTTCTGAAATTCTGCGTTTCCCCGTCAGGCTGTGGCCGGCTTCAAATTTCGCCATGAGTTCGTGCCACTCAGTGCTATGCCAATGCCATGACTCCTCTTCGGCAACCACAGGTCATAAATTACACGAGGCGTTCTGCGGCTTCTGCCAGTCCAAATAAGACGCGATTGACCTGGTCCAACTGTCGACGTGGACAGCAACGAAAGTAGTCAGAATGCAGGTGCTGGCTGCTAACTGGCGCTACGTGGGTAACGCGACTGACCAGTGAGGCAGTGACCATCGCACCGCACCGAACCAACCGTCTTTTCAATTTTGACAATGCAAACCAAATTTGGAAACTACCGACCAAGACCATAAGATGCTGATCCAATAGATGAGATGAGAGATGTGATTTTTTTTGCGCTTAAGCCCTCCCATCCGTCGACCTTTTTTTTGCGCTTAAGCCTCCTCACCCCATCCATTGAATCAATGATCGATAGTTTCCAAGTTTATACATGTTGGTTAGTTTACACCTAACATGTTGCCTTCAATTTTTCATGGTATGAACTGAAGCGACGCCACATGGACAAAATACGTGAGCCTGGACGTGGAGGTCTGACGACGTGAGTTGTAGCAAGCCAGCACGAAAGGCGCTATACGCTTGGCCTCGTGGGCGCCTCTCCAGCTCTAAGTATATTATTTTATATTTAATAAAAATGATATTTAATAAAAAATCCATCTTTTAATTAAGAGCTAATCTATGTATCTATTTTAAGATTATATAAGAGTATCGTATGAGACTATTCATGTTAGGAGCTACTATCTCCTAAAAGCTAATATCAAGAAGTTATTTTAGAGTTAGTAACTAGCCCATACTGTTATGGCTGCTGTTATACAGTTACGATAAAAGTACTGCCCTGAAAGTAATGAAATTCAATTATGTGTTTAGCTAGCCAAATTTACATAAAAGTTTAACTAAATCTATATAGAAGTATATCAAAATTTATGATTTGTCAAACTTAAGATGATTTAACCATTGTTAGTATTTTAGAGTTACACTCCTTTCTATAGCGACTACTTGTTTTAGAACTATATTCTTTACCCGAGGTGCACATCTCACATCCTAATAAGTTAAATAATATTAAGTTTGATCAAATATATAAAAAATAATAATATTCATTATACTAAATAAGCATCATAAGAGTAATCATATTATATTTTTACATAATAAACTAGTTAAAAATACATATGTTAATATCATTTTTTAATAATCTAGTTAAATTTAAAATTAGTTGACTTCTTAAAATATGAAATAAGCATTTATTTTGGTACAGAGTAGTAGGAGTATATTTTATTGGGCTGTTTCAGTCGATAGAATATGGGAGTAGTTACGGGTACGGCTCTTCGTGAGCCAGAGCGTATATAAACTACTTCAAGTTGAGTTTATCTGTCCAGTCAAACTATATTTTGGTTTAAACTAACCCAGCAGTGGCTGATAACGAGAGTACTCACAAGTCGCAAAGAACAACTTAGTAGGCAACTCGCACAACTGTTTGAAAAAAAAAAGACAATTCGCACAGCTGTTCAAGATTAAGCTGATGCATCACGGGAAACTATGGCTACTTGCCTCTGGTAATCCGAAATCCATTTTTGAGGAATAAAACAGCAACAATCTAGTTCTAGATTCTAGATTTTTTTCTTGGACTGATTATTCTAGATTAATGCATTATGGATCAAGGAGACGAACCGGACCTACTGGTCCCTGGGTCCCTGATTACTATTTATGGGGAAATAAATGGTACGTATGCAATGATGAATGCACGGTTGCTGCTATGATTACAGACAATCTACAGTACGAGGGCCCGATATTCTCTCCCAAGCATTTTGCTGCCTGATTGCAAATGTAGGGCTACGTGGCAAGAGCCTATGCGGCCAAAAATCCTATACATCTCGAGCCTGTCCTTCATTTTAGAGCGACAATTATCATCGACCGTGGAAGCAATATCTTGCTTATATATATATTGGCGTCTAAACAACAACACCAGATTACCGGAACGCTAATCACGGCCCATATGCTAATAATCTGCTCAGACACAAGTCCATCTGAAAAGGACGATGCTAAGTTGCTAACCAAAACCAAATAATGGTCTCCTCAAAACAAAGTTCTCTCTCAAGATGGCTGGATGACGGCGTTCCCCCAGCATGTCCTCAAGCCGCTTTCGTCCGACTGCTCTGACCACTGCCCCCTGCTTCTCCAGCTGCAAGCACTCGGGCCGCCTAAGCGGCGGTTCAGATTTGAGACGTTTTGGGTCAAGTGCAAGGGGTTTGAGGAGGTAGTGGTGCGCGCTTGGGCGTCAACGCTTGATGGCGTTGACCCATTCCGGCAGCTGGATCACAAGCTGCGGAACGTGGCGTTGGAATTGCGCAAATGGAGTAATGCAATGGTTGGGAGTGTCAGGCTGCAGCTTGCTATGGCTCGTGAGGTGATTCACAGATTTGACGAGCAGGAGGAGTCGCGCACGCTGGACGCGTGGGAGCTGGACACCCGTCGCGGCCTCAAGGTCAAGGTGCTCGGCCTCGCATCTCTACTGCGTACGATCCAACAGCAGCGCTCCAAGATTACGTTTCTGCGAGAAGGGGACGCGAATACAAAATTTTCCACCTGCAGGCGTGCCACCGCCGGCGCCAAAACAACATACACTCCCTCAGCGTCCAGGGACTGCAGCTGGTCGCGGACCATGCAATGGCCGATGCCCTGTACAGCCACTACGTCGCTCTGCTTGGCACCGACTTCAACAGATCGCGAAGGATGAACATGGCGGCGCTGGGCCTGCCATCCTTGGACCTGCAGGCCTTGGAGATGCTCTTCACTCAGGTGGAAGTCGCGGCCGTCATCCGCGACCTGCCGCCGGACAAGGCGCCGGGTCCGGATGGCTTCACTGGGCTTTTCTACAAGGTGGCGTGGCCCATCATAAAGAATGAGGTTATGGCAGCTAGAAACGCTTTCTGGGCGCAAGACTTCCGGAGTCTTCAGCATCTAAATGACGCTCATATGATTTTACTTAAAAAGAACGATCAGCCATCGGAGATCAAGGACTACCGCCCAATCAGCCTTATCCACAGCTTCGGGAAGCTCATCACCAAGTGCATGGCAAACAGGCTGGCTGGTGATCTCGACCGTTTGGTCCTGAGGAACCAAAGTGCCTTCGTTAAGGGTCGCAGCATTCATGACAATTTTAGAGACGTGCAGCTGGCGTGCAAGGAGATCCACAGGCAAAGGTCGCCATGTGTTTTGCTTAAAATTGACATTGCTAAGGCGTTTGATTCGGTTTTCTAGACTTACCTGCTCGATGTTCTAACCCACATGGGCTTTGGGTTACGATGGAGGAATTGGGTGTCAGCCATCCTTGCGACGTCCGGCACTAAAATTCTCCTCAATGGAAGGCCGGGGAGGAGAATATGCCATGCTAGAGGATTGAGGCAGGGCGATCCGTTATCACCGATGCTCTTCGTGCTGGTGATGGAGGTGCTCAACCACATGTTGCAGTGGGCTGAGGAACGACGATTTGTTTCACATGTACCTGGGTTGGTCACGGCAAGGGCCAGCTTGTATGCTGATGACCTCGTCATTTTTGTGGCACCGGAGGAGCGCAGCCTGCTGACCATTAAGGCAATCTTGAACACCTTCGGACGTGCCTCTGGTTTGTTCGCGAACCTTGACAAGAGTTTGGCAACGCCGCTGCACTGCA